TTTCCGCCGGCGGATAGGTGGGCGTCGAAGGAGCTCGTGTCGGCGCATCAAGGCGACCAACAACGGATTCTCTCGCCGCCGGGGAGCACGCCGGCGCGAAGTGCGAGTGCCAAGACGCGCGTTCCTCGGGGCGGGATCAAAAGTGCGAGGAGCGTCTTCGGGGCCAATTAGAGCGACGCGCGTTGGCGGATAGGAGGACGGTGCGTGATGTTTGGCGAAAAGTTCGAGGCCGCCGTTCGAGCTAATCGACTACGATCCTCTGTGAATTTTTTCGTACGTCGGAGGAGGGGGGTAAACGTCGAGAGTGGGGGGGGGTGGGGGGGAACGACTGCGCATGTTTCGCCTCTGTTCGTACCTTCGAATTGTGTGTTACGACGCGCGACGTAGCGCGACCGATTCCTGCGGGACGATCATCATGCGGGCGAAACTGCGTATATAACTGAGCTCTCGACGAGAGGGGAAGCTTCGCGCCGAGGGAGGGGATAGAGCAGATGGAACAGGGGGAGAAAGGACGAGCGGTTAGCCGGGGCGCCGAATTACCGAAGCTCAGGATTCCTCGACTCGATAACGTACGCCGCGAAGCTTCTTAACTCGGATCTAGATTTGAATCACGTAGAGATACACCCCCCTCGGCGTTCTCTTCGTCGACGTTAGGAACGTCGGGAATGCGCGCGAGAGCGCACCCGGTGTGTGTCGACCCCGGTTACCCCGATGGCGCGCAGATGGCGAAGATCCCCCATCGCGTACGACGCGCGCGCCGCTAAGCCGACGTTTTGGATTTCGAAGCTTCCCCAAATCCGGCGTTCCCAAACGCGCGCGGCGATGCTCGCCATCGAGTACGCCGCGCCGCCGACGAGTAACAACGGTTGAAATCGTTACTCGTTATCCTCAAGTATCAGCATTTGCACCCCGCCAATCCTCCTTCCTCCCTCCTCCTCTGAATACTGAATACTTTTTCAAACTGCATATTTCAAGACGTTCCGGCTCGTTCATTATTCCCTCCTTCCACTGCAGAAGGAAGAAAGGAGAACTGGGAAATTATCATTCCGAGCACGCGCGCGCGCGCCGGAAAGGCCGAAAGGGGTGCTTTCGACCTACTCCGGACAATACTTCGTCCTTAATTCCCACAACGATCTGACGCTCGCGCGCGTAGCCGAAGCACTACCTTGTCGACGTCTTCTTCAGGTTCGATCGAGCGTGACGTGTTTAAGAGGGCACACAAGATGCACGGGCGCGAGACGGACGGACGGACGGACGACGAGAGACGCTCGGAGAACGTACGTGCGGCTGTCTGTCTTCCGAGTGGCATTAATAGGTCTTTGTTTCGCCGTAGGAGAGAGAGAGAGAGAGGGAGGGAGAGACACCGTCGCGCGGCTGCGAGAAGATGCCCGCAGCAGCAGCAGCGCGCGGCTCTATTATTCGAATGTGGAGCAGATATCGGTTGTCGATATTGCCATTCGTCCGTCTAAATATCCGATCGATCGATCCCTTTCGCGTCTCCCTTTCCCTTCGTCCCGACCACTTCCCTCCGCCCTTCCCTCCGCTTCCTTCCTCCCTTCGGCCCTTCTTCCGCCGTCTTCCACTCGGTCGGTGATTCCGTATTCTCGCCTAGTCTCCCCCAGTCTTCCCCCCGGCCTCTCTGTACCCGTTAGCCGCACACACCGCGGCCCGTTATCGCGCCAACGGCGGCCCTAACTCGCGATAACGAGCCTGCGCTGGCGCGCACGTACGTATCGGAGGAGGATCCGACAATGTCGATCGCTCCCGCGTCCGAGACGTTGTAGCGCGCGGCGCTCTAGGCCGCTTTCTTTCCTCTTGGCAAGCGCGTGCGCGCGAATGTACGTTAATCGCTCGTCTCCGATGGCTCGTCTCGCTCGCCGGAGAAAGCGCCGACTCGTATCACTGAAAAGTTAACTATATACCGCCGCCGTGCGCCGCCCGGTCCGCACGGCGCACGGCGTTGGCCGTTCTAATGGCGCCGCCTCGATGAGAACAGAGGAGAGTCAAACGGTAAAGAAGTAGTTTCACCTCTGTCTGAAAGCTCGTCTCGACCACACGGAAGCGCGCGCGCGCGCGCGCGCGCACGGTTCGTCAGCTAAGCTTTTAATCTCCCGACTGCACCGCGTTCCTGCGCACCGCGGAAACGAGGGAATTCGATCCGCTGTGACCGCCGAGTCGTTAAACCCTTTTCTAGAGCGACGGCGCCCGCAACCGGACGCGAGCTCGGGAAAAACGAACGGCGCTGCTCGTGCAAACGGATATACCGGCCGCTCCGTGAGCGGCCACATTGATTATCGGTCCGATATACACACGACGACGAGCCGATACAAGTATCCCCGCGAAACCGCTAATTTCATTATTCTCCAGCATGATCGTGCTCGTGGTCGTTGTCGTCGTCGTCGTCATATTATCGCCAACGTGATTGCGTCGGGCGGTAATGAGCTCCCTGCGCCCTTCGCCCATCGCCGGGATCCGCGACAATGCCAATAATAGCGAGTGACGCGAAAATACGCGGAGACGTTGTACGCGTCCCGGAGGCGCGTGCCTCCGATCGAGGCAGGACGTATTGGCACACGATAAACCGACGGCGGCGACGGCGGCGGTGACCGCGAGTGCAACGTCGAGATATCGACTTAACTGCCACGCGTGTAATATCCACCACCGCGCGCGCGCGCGCGACAGTTTTGTTCCGTTTGAAGTAATACACCGCTCGCCCCCGACAACGGCAACGCGCGGACACGCGGCGACGGATACGGTATATCTCTTTTATCCCGAGCGGTAGATCGATTTCGTGCGAGCATCGCCGGGACTCGGGACGACTCTCGGATGATAAAAAGACCCGCGTAAGCGACAACTTTTTTCCCCACCGCACTCGATCTGAATTTTAAATTAGCCGGGAGCCGCGTCGGAAGCTGCCGCGTTGTTTGGCGGTAATCGCTTCGGAAGTCGCAGCTCGTTAACCATGAAATATTAGAATTGCTTTTCATCAACATGTTGTTCGGCTAGCTGCCGATAAAACAAGACGTCTCGCAGCACCGGCGAGAGATCGACGCTGTCGTCCTCGTGTAAATTACCACGAGACCGCGTCGACGGCTCGCGACAATCTTGTTATACTCCGATGCAACTATTCATAGCCTCGATCAGTTACGACAAGTTACTCCGTCCACATTTACATTCGAAGCATATAACGAGAGAATGTTAACGTGATTTGAGGCAATTTGTGTACATACCGAAAGATTAAAATATAATTGTATAAAACTAATTATAATACAATTGTACATTACCTAAACACTTTTACGCGTTGTGAGACGAGAAAGACTTTCACCATTTATCTTTAATTTATCTTTCGTTTGACAAAAAATAACCAACTCTCCGACGCACAGCTAAATTAATCCGCGATAAAACGCGTAACGACTGGATGCTCATCGAAAGCGGGACGGCGCGCGGCGTCAGCTTTCCAACGCACTTGATGTTTCTCACGTCTCTACGATCTTCCCACACGGAGCTATCGACGAGAGACGAGCGGCGAAACCGTTAAAAAGGAACCGATGCCCGACGAGGATGTTGCCGGGCACGCCTTTGTAGCGAAGCGCGCTGCCGCCGCCGCCGCCGCCGCCGCCGCACCGGAGGTGTGAACCGCGCTACAATGTATACGCGAGCCGTAAAAAGTCCGAACTCTTCAAACGGCCGCTCGACGTAGCGCTCGATAACAAATTGACGTACGAAGGTGCCAGACAAACGCCAGTCTTCTCGGTTATCTCAAGCGCTGCACGCGTATGCTCTTATCGTGGCACGCATTCACGCGTCGATTACGACACGCAGTACGCGCGATGTAACATCGCCTAGAAACACCTAGATATATATATACCTGGGTAAGAATATTTACATAAAACTACTCGGAGACAACGAAATATATTTAGATAAAAAAGTACAAAGTAGCCCACGAGCTTCTGCGATGTGCGTGGGAAGGAAAGTACGGAGCGCGCAAACGTCGAGCGTGTACACGTTGCTCGACAAATTTTCGAAAGTCTCTGGCACTTTTTTCTCAAAACGAGCAGGATCTTGCAAGATCGAGCGTAAAATCCCCGCCTCGCGGGGATTGCCTCGAAAGTCGAAAATAACGGGAGGGGGAATCGAAAATCGATGATGACGGCCGCGTTTCGTGCCGCGTAAAATCTGTTGCGCCGCAATTTTCGTTCTCTATCTCGTCCTTGCATCTCGGACGTGAAAAACGCCGAACGTTTACGCTAACCACCGTATCGACGAAGGAGAGACAAAAACACACAGAGAGAAAGAGAACGAGAGAGAGAGAGAGAGAGAGAGAGAGAGAGAGAGAGAGAGAGAGAGAGAGAGAGACAGAGACAGAGACAGAGACAGAGACAGAGACAGAGACAGAGACAGAGACAGAGACAGAGACAGAGACAGAGACAGAGACAGAGACAGAGAGAGAGAGAGAGAGAGAGAGAGAGAGAGAGAGAGAGAGAGAGAGAGAGAGAGAGAGAGAGAGAGAGAGAGAGAGAGTCGGCGGATTATTGCACGAGTTGTATTTATCCGGCAGATTATCCACGATTACTTGACTCGCGGCTGGCAAACCTATGCGCACGAGTGCAAGGTCAACACTATTCAAAATTAATCGATGCCGTGTGTGCGGAGAGACGACTCGCGCGCATCGTCGCGCATTTTAGCGCGGCTCTCGCGCACATTTGCCTGCCCGCCCGTTGGAGAACGTTAATCGCACATCCGCTTAATTAACGTGGCTATCGTGGGGCCGACATTCCGAGATAACGGGGGGTGACCAAATTCGACGTACACCGAGATGCAACGAGATTCGACCGCGGCGGTCAACTTTTGCGAGCTTCTGTCGCCGTCGCGGTCGAGGCTAAGATCGCGGACGCAACGCGTTAATCCGCCGCGGTTAATCCGTCAAATTAAACGGGCCCGGGACCCCCCGAGAGCCTGCAGCCGGATTAAATCTGAAACGCCCAACGGGAGTTACTCACCGTGCTCCACGTAATAGCTGGTCTCGTTGTACCGCTCGTCCGTGAATCCCGGCCTCTTCGCTTTCAGCGCTTTCGTTTCCAATTTTGCCTGGAACAAAGAACGCGGTAGATAAGCGAGCAGCTTGGCCAGCTGCGGCTACACGCGACTTTGCGTCGCGCGCGACCCCGCATATATGGTATTATACATATTATTCGAAATAGCCGCGCGAGCCGCGCATACACACGACGGAAAAGGGTATAAAACAATGCAGTTCCCATGACAATGGTGCTGCGACTTCGATTCTGGAAAAAAAGGCGCTGAGAAGCAGCGCAGAGAGAGAGAGAGAGAGAGAGAGAGAGAGAGAGAGAAAGAGTGAACGGATGCGTCGCCGGCAACGTCGGGAGTGTTTTTTTCGCCACGACACGTTTTCGGGGCTGCGTCGTCGTGAATGACGACGGTAACAGCGCGAAAATACGCGCCGAACGAGAGCGAGAAAGAGAGAGAGAGAGAGAGAGAGAGAGAGAGAGAGAGAGAGAGAGAGAGAGAGAGAGAGAGAGAGAGAGGGAGAAAATGGCCCGACTCGATCGAGTGTCCTTAACTCGAGGTGGCAAATTGTATCTCGCCGGCTCGACCGGTCCAGTTTTGACCCGGTCGGATGATGAAATTCGCGACAAAAATCACGGCTTTCGTCGGATTTATGGCGGAGCCGATTAAAAACGGAGATATACACGCCGCGTTATTTGTCACTCGCGGCTGGAATAAAGGGCGCGCGCGCACGCGGTAGATAAGTGGCCGACGAACAGCTAGTCGGGCACGGCTCCATACGCGTTCGCCAGGGCTGACGTATGGGCGACGATAAATTTATCATACAAAAAGCGCGCCATTTACCCGCCGGACAATATAAGGGGGACAAGCCGACGGGGGCGGGATCGCCGCGACAACAGCTGCGGCCGCGCAGAAATTAAAGCCTCCGAGCCGCGCGCGCGTCTTCGCTTTATTGAATTATCATACGCGCAAATTTGCGCGGGCGACGGCAAGATCGCGGCGCGGACGCAAAGGAAATGTACGATGCGTCGATATATATGAGCGTTCCCCTTGCCCCGCGTGCAACAGCGGCGATAAATCCGGCAAAATTGCCGAAAGTTCCCGGCGCCGCGCCGCGCCGCGCCGCGCCGCGACGTGTCTCGCGCAATTTTCGCAACGACGCGCTACACGTGCTCGCGGCAATTTACGCGAGCCCGACCGTGAGGACAAGAAAACGACGGAAGGATGCCGTCGACTAATTGTCTAGGTTACGTACGACGTGGTGAAAAGCGTGCGAGCGACCGGAAGACTAAGTGGCCGGAATTATGCGACCACGACGAAAACGACGACAACGCGGCGCGTCGGCTGCCAAGCGCGATGCAACGAGATAAATGCAATTTTGCATAAACTCCGCGCCGCGCGATTAAGGGCCGAGGGAAGTGATGGTTGATGGGCCGGAGGCGAGGGGATAGGAGGGGATCGGCAGAGCTGAAACTGCGCGCGTGCGCTCCTAATTAAAAAGTAACGCGCCACGACTACTCAGGTAGCGGCTCCGCGGCCTAACCTACGTGAACGCGCATAATGCGCGCCGCATTTTCGCCCGCTTCGCTACCGAGCCCCGATGCGCGTCTCGCTTCATTTTGATACTCGGCGAACCGTGATATTCCGCGATGGCGAGCGCGCGATTAACGAAACACGATTGTAAATCATCGAGGCACGTGTCCGCGGTCCGAGGCAAATGTCTGCCCCCCTCCCCCTGCCCCTGCCCCTCTATCGCTATTCTCCTCCTGGTGCCGCCGTGTACAACTTTCCGCACATCCCGCTGGTAGATTTAATCGTAAGCAATTTATACGCACACACATGCATTGCATATAGATCCCTCCCCCTCTTTTAAATTCCTAAACACCGGCGCGATGGATGCAGGTCGCCTGGAATTTGCATGAAATTCGCTGTCGCAGCGAACGTTATCGCGAGACACGTCGGACACACGTTATTGCCGTCCGACCGTGCTCGAGAAGAATATCGCCCACCGAGGCTGAGGCTTTCCTTTGATTCTTCAATCAAAATGCGTTCGATCGCTTGCACGCACGAGTCGTGTCCCATTACGAACGATGGAATCTTCAGGTGTAGCCCGGTAAAGCGAGAGATCAAGCGCTCACGCTCCTTTCCAAGGAGCGAAAACGATCTCGCCTCTCTTGGCCGCGATTGTTGGAACGTTAATTAAAATTACCAACGGCAAGCGACGCCATACACCGGATGGCGCTCGCTCGTTCGAACGGCGCGCATTACATTAATGGCTTCTGATATACGTGTGCGCGACACGTTTTAATTAACGTGGACAATAATTAGTCGAAATCGCGGAGTATCGGCCACGTAAATCGGATTATACGGGGCGCTGCGCGAATTTTCGATGGCCAGCAGTCGGCAGCCGGACGAAAGTACGCGGCGGCGCGACTGCGGACAGACGAGGCGAAGACTTCTCTGCAGGGCTTATATACGTATCCATCGGCGATTATCCGCCAGCAGGAATGTAATTAGGCTGCCGCGGGCGACTCGGAAAATCCACTCGGTGAATCGCCGGCTGAAATTACGTCAGACCGTACGTGGCGATACGTCGACGCGAGTCGACGCGACTTGCGCGATGCGCGCGCGCGGTTATCTAATTACGCGCGGCCGTAACAGTGTATCGTGATACGCCGAACGAAAGCAACAATAACAACAATAGCAGCAGCAGCAGCAGCAGCAGCAGTGGCAAACAATAACAACTGAAATATCATTCGCCAGAGTCGCTTTGCGACCGCGCGGAAAAAGTGCAAAAGGCGTCGCGTCGCCGCGCGGCCTATCGCGAAAACAAAATAACACGCCGCCGCAGCTTTTGTTTTCTGATTTAAACCAGCGTAACCGCGTATCAGCAAAATATTATGCTGAATAATGCATCAGATGCATAGTCGCGTTTTTCCGCGCCGGTGCGTCGAGTTACCATATCGCATTACGGCTAATTGTAGTTTGCAATAATGACCGGCCATTTTAACTCCCGGCCCGTTCTCGTGAAAACGAGTTAACAACAAATATTGAGCGGGAGCATCTGCGAAAATTAATATTTATATTTATATTCGCCCGTCGCACACGCGCGCGTTTCAACCGGCGCGGCGGCGGCCTGCTCAAAGAACGGCGACGACCAATCGACGCCGAACGACGTTTCGCCAAAGATGCATTTGGCGACTGACGCCGTCACGTCTGCGAACTGCGACGACAACACGTCTGGTCCGAGCCGGGCGATTAAATACGACGCAATCGATTCGGCGCGCGATCGGCGGAATGTCAAGAGAGTATAATAATGTCAAGAGGCGCGTGTATAAGACGACAGCGAACGCGCGCGCGCGCGATATTTTTCGGTCGTCCGATGATAAAACGCACAATCAATCACTCGCGATACACGCGATCGAACGACAAAATCCTCCCTACGAATTTATGATCGGGCGCGTGCGCCATGCGCAGATATATTTCTACCGCGAGACAATCACTGTAATAAATACTTCGCGAGATTCACAGTGATTCATTATTTCGGACAGATAGGGCAGACAGACGGACGGACGGACGGACGGACAGATACCGGTCGGTGTCTTTGTTCGACGATGGCCGCGTGTTTTCGCGTGTCTGCCTGGCTCGCCTTAAAAAATGGAGAGTAGTACCCGTCGTCGAATAACAATCCGGCTTCGGTCCCGCTCGAGTACCTCGTTAACCGTAACGAGGCTGCTCGAAATTTTTGCTTAAATAATTAACGCTCCCATTACGTATTGTTTGTGATCTCGGGTGAAAACGTTAGTCATCGCGGCAACCGCGAAAGCGAACGAGGCCGTCCACGACGACGACGACGACGACGTCGACGTCGACGTCGACGACGAGGAAACACGAGACTCTCCAGACCTACAAAGAGCACGGAGTTACGAGAGGAGACGTAGGAGAATACGAGGAGGGCGAGGAGCGAGGGCAACGGCGAGGGGCAAGAGGACGCGCGAGGAGAACGAGGGTGCGCGCGAGAACCGGAGAGGGCACAAACCACCCTCCGTTCCTCGCCTCGGTTTCTCCGTTTAGCCCCCCGCGCCACGATATATCCCCATCCGCACGAATTTTCGCGCCACTCGGCTCGCTCTCTCTGGACTTTCGGCTGTATCGACCGGCCCTAAAACATCCCTCCCTTTCACTCTCCAACCTCGAACGACCCTCGCCCCGCCGACCCCGCGCGTCCCTGACGAGAGTGTTCCATCTCTGTCTGCGAGCGACGGTCTCTCTCCCTCGCTCCCGAGGGCTGATCGACCGCGTTGCTTTCATCGTCTGAGGCTTTCCACGGTGTCCCGAAGCTTCCCTTCCCTCGGCCTTTTCACCCTCTCGCCCTGCCGCCGCCGTCGCCGCCGCCGCCGCCGCCGCCGCCGCGACGTGGCATTTACGTTCACCCTTCGCCGGATCTCCACCCCTACGACGCACCGAGGGGCTTCGCACGCGGGGGAACGCAGCGCAGCCCTCTTTGCCGCCGAGCGCGACTCGGCGACGAGTCGCGTATATTTTGTATTACCGGGATTTACGCGCGAGAGAGCCTTGGGAAACGGGATATGCGCCGTGACATTGTACGTGTAAACGCGTGGGCAGCATGCATCGTCACGGTCGCCGCCGCGGCCGCTGGGCCGACGGAAAGAGAGAGAGAGAGAGAGAGAGATAACACGCCGCGAGCGACCTGCACGCGTATGCCTGCATCCGCCGCGATTTCGGACGTAGGAAATTCCGTCGCATTGAACGGCCGTATCTGCTTTTCATGCACGTATGTGCAACGTGCTGCACAACACGTGCCAGGGGAGATGGCGCGCTCCGAATCACATCGAATATAATAGGAATGTTATATGTACGGTTCACTCGGCCACGCGCCACCGATTTAGCGTAACTGCTGATACGGCCTCCTGCTTGGAGTCCAACCGGCTCCGGTCTTTAGGCTGGATTCGCGTTGCTCGCTTAGACACTTGGGCGTGAAATCTTTTTCCGAGCGAGAACGATTGTGTGCGCGTTTGTGTGTTATGTGTGACGATAAAAGGTACTGCGAAAACCTACCTACCGGAGAATGTTTCGACGACGTCCTGCCTGCCTGCCTGCCTGCCGGCGCCTTAAAGGAGCTCGTCGAATGATACCGTCCTGCGCTCAAAATTGCTTGCTCTCCCAAGAGAGACTCTCGAGATCGCGTCTGCAACGTTCTACTCGTGTCGCTCGCGTCGGATGAAAAAACGTTGGAAAAGAGCACGGTGAGATGCGATATTCGAGCGATCGGACGAAAGAGGCCACGCGAGCGATGATACGCGTCCGCGATAAGACGATGATTGCGGAGAATGACGAGCGCTTTAATTATTCCTTATTACGCGGCGCACGCGAGCGTCTTAAGTACTTTGTCATCGAGTGGCTTGCGCGCAACAGTCTGTCACTGTTACGCGTATCCCCGGTTTAATTTACGACGCACCGGAACAGCGGAGCGGCGCTACGGACTCGGCAAGATAAATTACTTTCGCGCGGCATGGTATAACGTATCGCCTACCGAGCGCGGCGACGACGTTTCTTTCGCGGTGACGCGTGAAGAATTTCACGAGCCATATGGAGAGAAAGAGAGAAGAGAGAAGAGTAAATCCGCGCGAGTTGCGACGTCGGATAGTAGATACGACATTGAGCGTAATGTACTTCCCGTCGGGTCACGACGGTGCCGAGCAGCAAAAAGAGCAGCGAAATGGAGAACGACCATCCACACCCGCAAACACCCACCCACCCACCCACCCACCCACACACACACACACGTACGCAACATCGCCTTGAATCTCTGGCACGGCTTGTCGCCGCCTGTTGCTGTACAGAGGATGCTTCCTACGCGATGCTTCCGGTAAGGCGGTGGTTGTTTCAGCCGCTGCATCGGAATCAAGCAAGGTTGTCACGTCTGGCCGAAAGAAACGCGGACGTGTCCCTCGTAATTTCCTGTTTTCCCGTTGCTTCTTTTTCCTCCTTCTCGCTTCTTTTTTTTTTCCCGCCGCGCGTCTCACTCGCTCGTCGATTTATTCAGCGTTGCTGTTTCGCACGCGCGACTTCTGCTCGCCTCCTTTTCGCAATCAGAAATTCCTCGGACGGGATACAGAGTAAGAGCCGAGCGGCGAGATATATTTTTAAGCACGTCTTAAAATTCAGGAGGAACGACGCTGCGAATGCGAATTTAAACTCGCCCCGGGTTCTCTCGCCGGGGCTTCCCTAGATCAATGGCGGATTAACGAGCTATTGCCCGGCCCGAGTAGTCGCCCGAGAAAGAGAGAGAGAGGGAGGGGGAAAGGGAGAGAGAGAGAGAGAGAGAGAGACCCGGGCGCAGTGCGGGACGATTAATTTCATGGCTATCTTAACTTAGCTCGAGGAGAACTGTAAACTACCGTCGTCGTCGGCGAGCGGGCGGGCGAGCGAGCGAACGAGACGAAAACGAGAAGAAAAAACAAGCAGCTGACGATAGTCGCGAGCTAATCGCGGGAAAATTGTTGAAACGCCACCGAGCGTGACGAATCAAGTATCTCTCTCTCTCTCTCTCTCTCTCTCTCGCGAATAAATTGATTTTAATTTCGATATTTTTGCCCGTGACGTTTCTGGTCATTACACGTTTTACCGTTCGAACAGCTTCCGCTCGATCGCTCGGACGAACGCGGGTTAACGCATACGTACAATGAGGCGATCGTTCCATCGCCATCATCGCGATCATCCATCGAGTAATTTCCCTCAAAAAGAAGGTGAAGCAAGAAAGGAGGAGAAAGGGAGCAAGGGAAAGAAACTGTAGATTAAATTGCCCTCTCGTTGATATTCAACGAACGACTCGCGGTTCTCGCGATGAAACCGAATCCACCGCGCCCAGACCCGACCCACGGATGATTTTTATTCCCCTATGATGAAGCTCTCCCATCTCTTTCCTCACCCTCAGCCTCACCCTCTCCCTCTCTCTTTCTCTTTCCCTCACGTATTGAGGGCGCGTCGTTAACTCGCCGCGGCGGCAAACGTAAGACGCCGCGGCGCGTCAAGTCAAAGCGTCAAAGACTCGCGGTGACTAGTCGCAATAGTGACGCCAACGACAACTTGGGTTTCTCAAAGTAACGACGGTGGTGGTGGTGATGGCGGCGGCGGCGGCGGCGGCGGCGGCGGCCTCGACTCGCTTCACGGCTCCACGCTTATTTCGTTAATGACGACAGCGTACGCCGCGCGCAGATTAATGAGGCCGTGCCTCGTGGCTGACGACGCGGTGCGGCGCGTCGAATATCGACGAGGATGACCGAAATACACGACGGGCGGACGTGCGAGCGAACGGACAGACGGACGCGGACGGTAGTAGGTGGGTATGCGATCTGTTCCTAACTCATGACGTCCGCGCCGTCGCTCGACCCCGTGAATTACGAGGCCTCGAAAATGGACATCAAGAGGGAACCGGCGAACAGTGCCGCGTAACGCATAACGCGTTAACTGTCCGGAGGATCAGCCGCCAAGGGGGGGTGGTCATCCCCCTGCCATCCTCCCTGCCATCCTATGACTCGGCCCTGAACATGTAGCGAAGCGATAGGCGCGAATACCACCGATTCATCATATCGTCCGATCGACAGATTCGATAATGCGATCGATTCGACGAGAGAATCAAACTATTCTCCACCGCCTGAACGACGCTCGACAAAAAAGTTGCAAAGTCCCCGACACAACGGCGGCACCGAATTCGAGCGTCACTCGCCGGCCAGATATCTTGTCCCGAATCTTCAACGTCTTGAATGTATCACGATCTACCGCGAGGGAACGCGATCGATGGGCTCTCACCTTTTTCAGATCTTTGCTAGCATCGGCGTCCTCGGCCTTCCGCTTTTCGGTGATTTTCGGCGCGGGCACCGCGACCGTCGCCTCTCGCAGTGGCTTCAACTCGACCTGCAACGAGACGGAAAACACACATATTTATCATTCCACGCTGACTTTTTGCACGCTCGCGTCTGGCCGAACTGACTGCACGTCGGCTGATTGACGCGGCTCTAATTGTATTTGTCGAAACATCGCATCGTATGCGAATTCTCGCTCTTTCTCTCGTCGAAGTCGCCGCCTCCTTTCGCGACTATCGGCATCATCGGCTCGCGCGGCGGTAAATCGCACGGCGATTCGACGAATCGTGTCCGCGAGTTGTTCGTCGCGGACACAATACGTGCGCGGACGAGGCATTATCGGCCATTGTGCGCCGTCTGGATGTTGCCGTTGATGTTGCCGCAAAAGCACGCCCGCCAAAGGCCCGGATGCCATCGATTTATGGTAATTCGGTTAACTCGTCTCTATTTTACGCGCGCGCGTTTACGTTCTACATACTAATCCGGCGTTAATGGGACGAGTAAATACAGAGCGGTCGGTCCCCGCGACAGAGGTTGATTTGGCGCCTGATAATTCGACCGCTACGCGCCCACCTCCGGTAATGACCCCTCCCTCTCTTCCTCCCACTCCTCCACCCACACTCTCACTCTCTCTCTCTCTCTCTCTCTCTCTCTCTCTCTCTCTCTCTCTCTCTCTCTCTCTCTCTCTCTCTCTCTCTCTCTCTCTCTCTCTCTCTCTCTTCTTGTTCGCATCGATTTGGCCGAAACGCGCGAAAGTACAGACGAAACGGGCGGAAGAATAATCAACACAGTCATCGGAGTCCACGATAAGCCTTAATCGGTATTAATGAAAGTCGGGTAAATGAGATCACCCTCGGCTAGATACTTTCGAAAATTCGTCTCGTACGCGCGACGAAGTCACGACGGCGACGGACTCTGTGTTTTCGCGCACGTTGATATAATTTGCTTTTCTTAATTAAATTAAACGCGACGACGACGTGAGATATGTTTCTTCTCTCGAGCCCGCTCCCTCCTACGCTTGCCGCATTTAAAGCAAAATGAGAAAGGCAGAGAGAGAGAGAGAGAGAGAGAGAGAGGAGGGGGAGGGAGGGAGAGAGGAAGACTTTCGGAGTGACGAGAGGAAAACAAAAAGATCGGGAGTAATTGCAGAAAGTGCAGTTAAAACGAAACAGAAAAAAAAAAAAGAGAATCGATTTACGAAGTACGTGAAGGAATTCTAGAAAAACCGTTCCTCCCACCCATCCACTTCCCTGGAAAAGTACCACTTTCCTACACAAAGTCCCCCGGCCGAAAATGCAGGTGCAGTTGAAGCGAGAGTTAACGCAATTAGGCAATTGCGTCTCGCAATTTGCATAACGACGAATTAACGGGATTACATCGCACGTCCTATTAGCCGTCCGTAATGCTGTCACTGAGATATCAGGATTACAGAAAGAGACTCCTCCGCATGATTTCGAGCCTCGTATCCTGCACATAACACGAGGTTTCGTCGAATGGACCTCAACGAGAGAGAGAGAGAGAGAGAGAGAGAGAGAGAGAGAGAGAGAGAGAGAGAAAGGAACAAGATGAAGAGTCGACTGCCGCGACAGAGAAAAGGACGCGTGGGAATATACAAGAAAGTCGAGCGCGATGGAGACACATGGAGCACCGCTCTTGATAATTAACGAATCGCACAGGGAAAAGAGTCCTTCTTATGAGAGAGAGAGAGAGAGAGAGAGAGATTTGAAGACGAGATATAAAGGCAGCCAGCTATACTTCCCTACCACTGTCCACAAGCATGCCCCATCTTCGTCTGGTTTTCTGCAATAAGAATGAAGTTGGACAAATATCGAATGTGCCTGTGGCGCACACAGGCCATCCTTTTCAGATATAGCCTCCGCAGGCTCTCTTGTGAAGCACTCGGTCTACGTGCACAAGTCTATGGGAAAGAGCTCCATTGAGTTCTTCAGTTTCGTAACTTTGTTTAAATATAGAGATGAGACAATTCAGAGAGAGAGACGGAAAAACTCGTGTCTCGAGAAAGAGGAGGTAAAGAAAGAGTATATATGCTCGACAGTGAAATATCCACCGAGTAATGCAATTTGCGCGGATCGTCTGGCCATAATTGCATCGAGCGCGGCGTATTTCGAGAGCGTATTACGCGCATTCGAGTCATTCGAAAGGCATTCCGTCGCGATATTATCGACACCGCGATTCATTGAGTTCATCGCGCGAGCTGTCTGGCGAAATTCGCAAATGGACGTGAATCGAGACAGCAGTTTTCCGAGCGTGCATCAGCGCAAGCGGCCGACAAATGTCGCGGTGCGCGACGCGACGGCATGCGGCAGGTCGGTCGGTCAGTCGGTCGATCGAACGAACGAACGAACGAACGAATGAACGAACGAACGAACGAACGAACGAACGAACGAACGAACGAACGAACGAATGAACGAACGAACGGACGAACGAACGAACAAACGAACGAACGAACGAACGAACGAACGGACGAACGAACGAACGAACGAACGAACGAACGAACGAACGAACGAACGAACGAACGGACGAACGAACGAACGAACGGACAAATGACGTCCGCATGGCCGGCATATCGAGCCAAAATCGAAAGATCGATCGGACACGCGGGTATTATTTCGCAAACGGATCGCCGCGCATTCGGCGCGAATGAGGCCTTAGGGTCGCTAGGGTCGCCCCTGACAACGCCCTTGCCTGCATTGCGGTAGCTCTTTCTCTCCACCCTGCGATATCCTTCCACCATAACGAGAACGCCCTGAGAAAAGGAACGAGCGAGCCGAGGTCGTTCGAGGGAGGAGGAGGGCCCAAGAGTAGGGTCGAATCGCAAACGTAATCCCGAAATCGCCAGAGATGCTCCGCGGGAAGAAAAAAATGTAAAAAATTTACGTCGGGAAAGCGTCGCTTTTCACGTCAAGGCGCGTGCAAGGGCGTTCGTCGGGAGTAATTTATGTTCATCTCGAGCGCCCTCTCTCTCTCTCTCTCTCTCTTCCTCCGCCTCTCGCGGGCATTTTGCGCGCTCTCGCGCTCCGCTCGCGAAATTGGCTTAGTCCTCTCTCGTCGCGATTCGTCTCCCTTAAAATAGCCAAAAACGCGGCAAAACGAGACCGAAAAGATCCCGTTGCCGTGTGCTACGTGACGTGTTGCAAATACATGCTTGTACGTGCAATCGCACGCTAGTAAAAGTTCAAGACTTCTTTCCATTATACGATGGGAACGAAAAGGATGACGGATAACCGCTCGACGTCGCGCCAAATTTCTTATTTCCATTAAGCCATGGCGCGCGCCGACTCCGTACGACGATAGACTCTTTATCCAGCGAGATTTTCACTCGATGGAAATCTCGACGAACGTCCAAGTCTGATGGATTTTGAGCTGAAAAGTCGCTTTCCACGGCTGTACCAGACAGCGCTGATACAGAGAGAGAGAGAGAAAGAGAGAGAGAGAGAGAGAGAGAGAGAGAAATTAACATTCGTATAACGATGACGTAACGAGAAGCCGATTGTATATTGCACACGCTCGCTATATTTATCGATTTACCCCGGGGAGACGACTCTCCCGAGGTAAAGCGGCCATCGTTGTTGCAAATCTCTCACCGTGTAAATGCGCGCGCGCGTGTGTGTATTTATGAATAAATCCGAGAGCGCGTACGGAACACACAAGAGGAATCGCGACAAAGGGGAACGGGAGCGGCGCTTTTCTTCGGGAAACGGACCAACCGTTGGGGGATTCATCCATCTCGGTCACGTCACCGGCGATATAATCGAGAGAGAGAAAGAGAGAGAGAGAGAGAGAGAGAGAGAGAGAGAGAGAGCGAGAGAGAGAGAGAGAGAGAGAGAGAGAGAGAGAGAGAGAGAGAGAGAGAGAGAGAGAGAGAGAGAGCGAGAGCAGGCCGCCTCTATTCAGGATTCGCGGCGTGCGCTTCGCGCCGCGGCTGGAACTCAATTTATCCGTTTATCGCGCGTCCCGAATGGACGGCCGAGAGGTAATACACTCCGGAGTCATTAACGGCGGCTCCCCACACTTTGTCGCGGCGCGGCGCGTCGAAGCCGCGAATTTTTCATGAATTTTTCGGTTAGCGCCCGGTACCGGCCGCTTCGGCCCGACGTACCAAATTGCTACGCTTATCGACTTTGCCTCGCGAAATAAGAGAGAGAGGATGTGTGCGCGTTGTATTCGAAATCGCGCGCGCCCGACCTCACTCTCTGACGTTGTTACTGTGTATATTAACTATAGCGAGAGAGAACGTATGAATATTCAACGGTTCGCGGTTTCTCGTTATACGCGTCGCTATATACAACTTATACAGAGTGTCGAAAAATTCTGAGCGCAGCTGTCGTGTGTAGGAAAATTCTTCTGACCCACTTCGGGGACAAGAAGCACGTGCAGCAAATTCTGAGATATCAACTGAAGAAGATTGCTGAACGATCGCGCGCTCGCCCATCATCCTTCGTTAAAAAATCTACAAATCTCTCACATGGTCGTCTCCGAAATGGTCGAGAGGTCGAGGGATTTCGGAGCTGGAGGAATTCTCTCCCCCTCCCCCTTCGGTCCCCTGACCCAATCCACGTGCACACGACACAACCGTACGCCTTGAATGCGCTTAGATATTCCGCTGCGACTATATCCAGCCGGCGCGCGCCGCGACTCGCCTCGTGAGATCGGCTGTGTGACCGGTCTCGGACACAGCGCGCTGGAGCCAAGAAGGATGCGGCTGGTTTTTAACCGGACGACCGCGCGCTGCTTATCTTGTCACCCTTGACTGAGAGCCGTCACCCAGAAACTTCCTTTCGCCGCCTTGACCGCACGTGACTCGCCAGTCAATTAGCCGAGCGCGAGTCGCGCGCGAGTTACGCCTCATCGTCGGCCTCATACTCGCAATTACCGCTCTCGCGTGTAAGGATTAGCACCAGCTCGTCGGTCGGTTTACGTCTTATTAAAGGCGCAATCACGATACGCGCGCACGCGCGATATAATTGCCCGACTGACGTTTCCGGCGTGGTCGTGTCGATCGCCGAAGAGCCGAGCGAGAAATTGGAAAAA